GTTCACTGTGCTTGTCCTGGCTGCATTTGTCATCCAGCTCCTTAACACAGGAAAGGAAACTTGTTCCTCTTTGTGTCCAGAGTGGTGCCTTTTACAGAGTGTGTGCTCAGTAAACATTGGGCGAGTTGGTGACTGAATGAACATAGGCTCTTTCCAGCTATTTCCGGGGGAGGAGGGGGTCTTTTTGTGTAGCTCCTAATCTGAAGAGTTTAAGTCACACAGGTACAGCAGCAAGGAGGCGGGATAAGAAAGCCTGCGAAAACTAAACAGACCCAAAGCACTGAGCGGTGGTGATCCTGAAGCCTAACCCACCAGAAAACTCTGCCAGGAAATGCATGCCTCTTAGACTCCTAATGCCCCTATATTGCTCTTTAGCTCCTCTCTGCATTCTGAGAACTTTACCTGTGAAACTTTACCTTTTTCCACCATTTCACAGCCTCCTAGAGATTAATTCCCTAAAGAATTCCATTCTTACAAATTGAACACCATAGGTTTACCCTGCAAACCAATATCAGGCCCTAATCCTCCAAATGGGGCCATTTGAGGAGAAGTTTAAAATCAATGACTGCATAAATACTATTTTAGAATAAAAGCAAAAACTAAAGAAATAGGGCACAAGATTCAATTCAATTTCATGTGTACTTATTGTGTGCCAAGTTTTTGCAAAGCCTTGTCCTGGGCACTGATTAAAAATGATCCAAAGATTTAATAGGACACTGATCTCACTCATAAGATTCCACGTGGCTCTGGCAATATAACAGGAAAGGGAGGAGCAGAGTGGGAAGAGTCTGGAGGGAGGGAAGGCATTGCACAGGAGGGCCAGCGTGCTGGGTCAGGACTGGATAGAGATGAGAAATAAGTGGGAGGGCTGCTGGTAGCTGTGCTCATAATTGCATTAGTGGTGGCCTTTGATACTTTGTGTCTGCATCCAGGAAATGTGGATGGAATTCCAATAGGATAGGAAATGCTTTAGGAAAAAAAATTCTAAAGCAATCTATAAATATAAAGAAGTAATATGCAAATTAGGTCGGTACGCTGTAACGGTCACGACCAGTTCAGGAGGAGGGGCCGGGTGCAGCCCCGAGCCTGAGAGAACAACACACAGGCACAGCCCAAAGCCTGAGAAAACAACATACAGGGGCGCCTGCTCCGAGCCTCCGCGGCATGGCTGGGGGCAGGCCCGCAGTGGACACACACAGGGGCGCCTGCTCCGAGCCACTGCGGCCAGACTGCAGGCCTAAGCCATCAGTAGGACATCCCCTGAGGGCACCCGAACTGTGAGAGGGGGCAGGCTGGCTGAGGAACACCTCCCCACTAGTACACAAATTTCGTGCACCAGGCCTCTAGTCTATTTATAAAAAGGCTAAGTGACCGACTGTATGTCCATCTGACCATCCGACCGACCGACTAACTGGCCGGTACATATGACATGCACTGGCAATTTAAAAATAAACGTTGACTTGCACATGCATGATACATGTAAAGCTCTCGCTGGCACCAATCACACGCATGTGTTTCGATCTGTCATTGTCGATTGTGATTTTGGTTGTTTTATAGCATTTTTTGTTGTTTTTATATCATGTCCTTGTTGTTGTTATATCATGTTTTTATTTATTAATCAATTTATATATTATTTTCATATACACTAGTGCTCTAGTGCATGGATTCGTGCACATTGAAAGGAAATTAATTAGAAGGTGGCCAGCGGAGTGGGACTGGGTGAGAAGGGATGGACACATCCTGGAACCAACCTCCCATGGTCCCTCCCCGGCCGGCTGCACCTGGGGTGGTGCCTTGGCTCGAAGGGCATCTGCGGAGTGAGTGGGGTCCCTCTGGCAGGTGGGGTCCCTCAGCTTGGCCTGCGGGGATCAGGCTGAAACTGCCTCTCCGACATCCCCCGAGGGGTCCCGGATTTCGAGAGGGCGGTTCTTGGGTGACGCACCCCAGAATCGGGCTTCCTCCTCTCTGGTTCCAGGGTGTATCACCTGAGAACTGCCGCTGCTAAGTCACTGCAGCTGGGCAGCTCCTGCGTTGAGCATCTGCCCCCTGGTGGTCAGTGAGTGTCATAGCTACTGGTCAGACTGTCTGCCCCCTGGTGGGCATTGCATGTCATAGCTACGAGTTGGACGATCGGATGGTCACTTAGCCTTTTATATATGTAGATTTTACTAATTTTCTTTCATCTCTGACATCTATTATAGAGAAAGGGTGAATAGCAATATTAAAATATTTCTTCTAATTAATTTCCTATCAATGTACATGAATCCATGCACCGAGCCACTAGTATTGAATTAAAGGTATGAAATGAGACAGGTTGATATAGAAAAAAAATTTAAAATGATAGTATTTAACAGAACCCAGTGCATCTGTCAGTGTTCTTAGCTACTGATGACAGAAGCTACTCTAGTTAGTTTGAGCATAAAAGGAATTTATTAAAGCCCTGGCCAGTGTGGCTCAGTTGGTTGGAGCATCACCCCACACACCGAAAGGTGGTGGGTTCGATTCCTACTCAGGGCACATACACAAGTTGTGGATTTGATATCAGGTTGGGGTGCATGAGGGAGGCAATTGTTAGATGTTTCTCTCTCACATCAATGTTTCTCTCTCTCCCTCTCTCCCCCTTCCTGTCTAAAATCAATAAAAATTTTTTTAAATGAATTTATTGAAGTCTATCATGACACCATCAAAAAAGTGGCATTTCTTCAAAGAAGATACCCAAGTGGCCAATAAGCACATGAAAAGATGTTCAACATCATTAGTCATTAGAGAAATGCAAATCAAAACCACAATGAAATACCACTTCACACCCACTAGGAAATGAGAACCCTCAGACATTGCTGGTGGCAGTATAAAATGATGTAACTGCTTTGGAAGATAGTCTGGCAGTTGCTCAAAATGTTAACTATAGAATTACCATATGACCCAGCAATTCTACTCCTAGGTTGTAACCAAGAGAAATGAAAATATAGGTCCACACAAAAAAACTGTACACAGATATTCAGAGCATTATTCGTACTAGCCCCAAAATGAAAACAGTGCATATGTTCATCAACTGATGAAATGGATATGCAAAATGCAGTCTATCTCTACAATGGAATATTATTCTGCAATAAAAACGAATGAAGTACTGATACATGCTATGTATAGTACAATATGGTTAAACCTTAAAAAAATGCTAAATGAAAAAAGCCAGACACTAAAGGCCCATACTGTATGATTCTATTCATATAAAGTGTCCAGAATAAGCAAATCCATAGAGACAGCAAGTCTGTGAATGTTTTGTGTGTGTGTGTGTATGTTTAATATATTTTATTGATTTTTTACAGAGAGGAAGGGAGAGGGATAGAGAGTCAGAAACATCAATGAGAGAGAAACATTGATCAGCTGCCTCCTGCACACCCCCTACTGGGGATGTGCCTGCAACCAAGGTACATACCCTTGACCAGAATCGAACCTGGGACCTTTCAGTCCCCAGGCCGACGCTCTATCCACTGAGCCAAACCGGTTAGGGCAAGTCTGTGAATGTTATGGTTGTACTGCGTCCCCCACTCCCCAGATTCATGTTGAAGTCCTAACCCCCACTACCTTAGAATGTGACCTTATATGGATATAGAGAAATTTCTAATAGGAGATGGAAATAAGGGCAGATGGAATTAGTTAAAATGAGGTCATACTGCAGTAGGGTGGGCCCCTACTCCAATATGATTGATGTCCTTACAAAAAGGGGAAATTTGAACAGACACACAGGGAGACTGCCATGTGAAGACCGGGGTTATGTTGCCACAAGCCAAGGAACTATGAGGAGCTAAGAGAGTGTGCTAGAACAGATCTCTCCCCAGCGGCAGGCAGAGGGAGAATGTTCCTCCTGCTGACACATGAAACTTGGATATCCAACCTCCAGACCTGTGAGCCAATACATTTCTATTGTTCAAGCCACTTCGTTTTATGGTGCTTTGTTAGCAAGCTCAGTGAGTTTTTCTCTACTCCTGTATTTGCTTCTACTTTTAAGTGGGCAACTGCCTAGCTTGTATAGCTAGCCCATAATGCCCCAAAGACCATACAGATCCAACTCACTGGCCTCCTGGGACATTCGCATTGAATATCCCACAAAAATCACAGGCTCAACTTGTCTAAACTTAAGTCATCGTTTCTCTGGTCCCACCTGTTCCTCCTTTATTCTTCTCTCTTGGTGAATGGTACCCTCCATCCCCAGTGTTGCCCACGTCAGAAGCTGGGTGTTAGCCTACAACCCCACTCAGCTGCCTGTTACCAGGCATCAAATCCTAAAGGTCCCACCTCTTTCACACCTGTGGAGTCTTTCCTGTCCATCCCAGCCCCACCTCCACTCCCTCCCCAGGCTGTCTTCCTTCCATTTGCCTTCCACAGTCATCTTTCTGCAACACAGTCTTAATCAAATCACTCATCTGCTTAAAATTCTTCCGAGTGTCCCCATAGCTTCCAAACAAAAGTCAAATCCCAGAGCTTAGCAGATAAAACCTGTGTGGTCTGACTTCTTGCCACCCTTTATAGCTACCTTTAACCTTTGCTCCTTGCACCTGCTTTCTGCAGCCATTCAATGGTTCAGATCTCTCTCTCTCTCTCTCTCTCTCTCTCTCTCTCTCTCTCTCTTCATACTATCTGATGTCTACTCAGGTTTCAAAACTCAAATGCAGCCTCCTCTGGGAAGCCTTCCTTGATTTCCAGCATTATTTAAAACTTGCTTCTTTGTTCCTGTAACCCTCTGGGCACACACTCTATCACAGCAATTGCACAATGCACTGAAATTGTTGGTCCTCCTCCCCCCTTCTCACCACCCTCCCCCAATAATAAGGCACTTAAGAATAAAGGCTTCAGGTTTTTTCCAACTTTCTGCTCTCAATCTATTACAACATATAGGAGTTAGTCATAAATGTTTCTGGAAGGAAGGAAGGAAGGAAGGAAGGAAGGGAAGGAAGGAAGGGAGGAAGTAAGGAAGGAAGGAAGGGAAACGGGAGGGGAGGGGAAGGGAGGAGAGAGGAGGGGAGTATTTTAGCATAAAAAGTAAGACCCTGAGGAATAGAAATGCCTCATCATTTTCAGAGCTGGTTGTGCTGTAGTTGACTATTTGCCAGAATGAAAGTAAACGCGGAGATGTTGTCCTCTCTCACACTCGGGAGTTGTGGTTGCTTTTAATAATGAGCCGGCCTGTAAGGAAGGCTGCCCCTTTTCTGCTCTCTGGGCCCCATCAGACTCCAGTCGCTTCCCCCGAAAGGACAGTTTGCATCTGTGTTTACAGGGGTGTTCGGGGGAGCCAGGGGGGCCGACCTGCCAAGGGAGCCAAGCCCCCTTTCCCCTGCGCCCCCGGGCTGCGATTGGCCCTTCCCGGAGGCTGGCCGCGGGAGCCTTGAGTCATCGCGCTGGAAATCTTTCTGGAACTGGGCACCAACTTGCATGTTGTGTTGTTCTCGTGCGTCGTGGGGATTAGCTGCCAGGCCGGGTCGGGAGCGAGCGCGAGCGGCAACGTGCGGTCCAGAACCTGCCTCGGCCTCTCGGCGTATGGAGCACAGATGTCTCCGCTCCAGGCCTGAGCGCAGAATGGAAATGACCAACCAGAGGCCCTTCTGGGACGCAGGGCTCCGAGATGAGGCCCTTCCGAGCCCAGCCAGGAGGCCGCTTTCCTCCGCTGGTGTGTAGTCCCGACTTCAGGTTAGCGATCGGAAACGCCGGCCATAGCGCCGTGTCGCCTTCAGACGCTGGCGGACGGGACCGGCTGCGGCTGCGGAGAGGAGGAGGCGGGCGGGAGCTGCGCCAGCGCCTGGTCCTCTGCCCAGGGG